ATTAAAAATAAATAAATTTAAAATATAATCATACAAATAACATATAAAAATTGACTAAATAAGTTATGTTTATATTATATTTTAATAATTAAATTGAATAAATATCAAAAGTATATCTAATTAAAATATGTATAAATTATTTTTTAAAATTCAAATAATTATTATGATATTTAAAATTTTAAATTAACCTTTAAATTTTGGTGAAAAACATATAGTAGTCCACGTACTTTGCGAACTACTTAAAATCCACCCTTCAACTTTTTTAAAAAAAAAAATTTAACCTTTGGACTTTAATATTAAAATAAATCAATCCACATATTTTTTTATTGAAATAAATCAATCCAAAGTTAATAGATGATGTCATGTCACGACTCATCATATTTCCATAAAATCTATTTTAAATATGTTATATTATAAAATAAATCAATTCATATATTTTTTGAGTTACTTGAAATCCATTCCTCTACTTTTTAAAAAAAAAAATTCAACCTATGTATTTTTATATTGAAATAAATCAATCCACATACTTTCGTTTTAAAATAAACCAACCCAAATTTAATAGATGACATCATACCATATCACATTTTTGTGAAAACCATTTTAAATCCATTATATCTTGATAATTTGACATGCATAGATCCTATTTTTTGTGTGATAAATTATTTTTAATCTAGTTAGATATATGTTGATAACATGATAAATAAAAATATTCTTTTAATCTCTTTGTTCAATGATAAAAATACCCTTCTATTCTTATTCACGATCATTTTTGGGACCTAAGATTTGGTTTAGTTATCCATGTTGCCATTTTCACAAGCCCTAAATCTCCTCCTTTAAAATCCAAAGAACTAGATACCATTGTATTTAGTGAAAATCCCACTAAGGCCTTAGATTATGCCATTTGGGCTACCGAATCCTTCAAGATGTGCCAAGTTGAAGCCTAACCCAACTTAGATCTCATCATGAAATTGCACATGCTTGTTGCAATTTACTACAGCTTGAGGAGGTTTGATGAGGCTATACCAATTCTAAAGCTAGTAATTCAAGTACTTGACATCACTCAAAATTGATGTTTAGTTAAAATTATTGTGAATGAAAAGAAGAAGACACCATTAGAAAAGTATAACCAAACTTGAAACCCTAAGTCTCAAATTCCCAATTTAAAAACAAAGGAAAGAAGGGTATTTTTATTATTAAATAAAAAGATTAAAAGAATGCATTTTTATTACTATCAACATATGTCAAATTGGGATTAAAAATAATCCATATCACAAAAAATTAGACCCACGCATGCCAAATCATCAAGATATAATGGGTTTGAAATGGATTTCATAAAAGTTTGAGCTGATTTATTTCAATTAAAAAGTATGTAGATTAAAAATTTTTGAAAAAAAGTAGAAGAGTGGATTTTGAGTAACTTGAAAAGTATGCGGATTGATTTATTTCATGACATATCAAACCTGAAATGGATTTTATGGAAATGTGACATGGCATGACTTCATCTATTAATTCTGGGCTAATTTATTTCAATTGAAAAGTATGTAGGTTAATTTATTTCAATATTAAAGTCTAGGGGTTAAAAATTTTCAAAAAAAAGTTGAGGGATGGATTTGAAGTAATTTAAGAAGTACATGGACTAATATATCATTTTCACCTTAAATTTTCAAATAAGTAGTTAAGAACTAGAGAAATTGAGGGGTTCTCCCTTTCATTTCATTGAAACTAAATAAGTTCTAAGACCTATTTGTTTTGAGGGAAGGGAAGCAATCATTTTGTCCAATTAAATTAAAAAATTAACTTAACATTGTAATTTAATTGGACAAAATTATCTCTACTCTCTTCTCATTTCCTCTATATTCCTCAAATTGAATAGGTTCTAGAAGTTGTTTTAATATAATTTGATTATGACTCATAAATTGAGTATACTTTAGCCTTTCAAAAACAACCATACGTTATTGTACCAGGGGGGAAAAAAAACCATCTAGATGTTATTAGTTCAAATTGAATAAATTAAATATTTTATATTATAAATAACTATTATTATCAATTGTTATATGTGAATTATTAACTATTAACTATATTTAAATAATTAATCGAAATATCCCTCTTAATTGTTATATTTTTAACTTAAAATAACTAAGGGATAGGCAATTTGAAAGAATGTACAGTTTTTCCAAATAAAAATTGAATCAATTCTTTAATCACAAAAATTATTAATAGGGCTGAAATTGTTTTTTTTTTTTTTATTAATCTCTCGGTATTCGATAAACATATTGGGTCTCGACTAATCTAAAATTAAGCCACGTCGAACCCCGTTAAAAGGAAGCTCTCACAGCACTTATTTTTTTATTCACAAGATTCGAATTTAAGACCTTAAAAAAGGGAAATTGGGTTTCTTCCGTTCGAACCAACAAGTCGTTTGGTTTAAAATTGTTTATATTATTATAAATTCAGAGTAATAATAATTGTTAACACACTTTTATTTATTGATATTAGCTCATATAACTGAAGATAACTTTATTATTTCTTAACTCATCTATTTTTTTGTCATATAAATCAAATTTAAAATTTTTTATTCTATTAAAAGTAAAAATTAATAGTAAAACTCATTGTTAAACTATTTAAGTTGTAGCACCATTAATTTTTTTTAACATGGTAACTAATTTTGTACATCAATTTTAAGAGTTCGAATTCGAAGACTCTTGTGCATATAAATTGAAGGATTACGAAAGAAAAGATAAAATAAGAAATTTTTTTACAAGTTTAAGGATTATACCTTTTAGTTTAATATATTTTATAATATATTTAATAAAAAATTAATATTTTTAAATTTAAATTAAATGCAAGAATACCTGAAATTATAAATTTTAATAACTAAAATAATAAATATTAATAAATATATTAAATTAAAAATATACCAATAATTTATTATTTATATAATTACAAAACCAACTAAAGTTCAAGAACTCTAATTTTTTTTTTTTTTTTTGGAATCATAACTGAAAAATGATTTCGTGAGAGTATAGATGTGTCAGAACTCGGAAGCAACCACCAATATTGAAAACTAAAAGGTCTTCATTTAAAATCATTGAATTCGCCTTTGAAAAATGTATCATGGCTTGAATTAGCAACCACTTTAGCCTAGATTAATTGTTTCATTCATTTCTTGTCCCAAGAAGCCAGGACTCACAACCCATTTTTTTCATTCAAATTTTTAATAGATTGAATTAATTTACTATTCTTTATTAATTTCCCGTAATTGGGGTTAGGAAACCCAACTGATTCCCCGTCTATCATACCACAGGGTACTCAATGCCAAAAGAAACTCCTCAATATCTGGATGTTCGCCCCACCTATGATAATGAAAAGGAGAAGCGTCGTTGAGGACTTTGAATGGAAGAACATAAGCATGCTGCTTCTGTTGAGAAGCCTGAACCTGATTGACGAGTTGATCAAGAAGATGTTAATGAAGAAGTTGAGGAGTTTATGGAAACAAGGCACAAGAAGTTTGCTAGCAATCTGGTGGCTCTAGGGCCACAAGTATGTAGTTTGTAGTCTATATGCACCAAAGCTAAATAACACGTCAAAATCTAGCTCCTTTTGAAACATATCTTAAGAGAAGTGTCACTTACTGCATGCTACTAATAAATAGCAAGTTTTCACTTCTTTACCACAAGAATTTTACTGGGAATGGATTACGGAAACATCAAAAAGCTCGTATTCTTTTCTGTGATTTAACATGCATATTTTGGGCCCATCACAAGCCCTCTCTTTTTCCTCCTATTTCTAATCCATAAGACCAAGAACAACAGGTGACACTCAAATTTTGTCCCAGGCAAACAAACCCTTTATTTTTTTATTCAGAAACTTGTGTCTTGTACATGTTATGGAGGACGTAAACGAACCAAGCAAACAAACCCTCTTAAAAGCTCGCTCAAAATCAAACAAGGAACAGGAAAAGGAACCAACAGAAGTAAATGAGCTTAAGATGGCCAAAGTATTGATTTTGATTCCTCAAAATCGCAACCCATTCTATCTAGTGAATGGATCGACAGAGGGGGCAAGTTCTGTTCTTGTTATCAAACCACTTATCTAAGCACCCTTTGTGGAAGAAATGCTTGCAAGACAACTCACTCACCTCCTCCTCTGCTCCAAATCTACATAAACACACACAACATTCTGCCCATCCACCGCCGCCGCACAGAGACTTGAACTGGGTAGTTGATATCCTTCGTTCTCTGGCATTCTCCTGCGGATACCCATCTGGCTCCTCCTCTAAAGTTGAATTCCAAATTGCACCCATAACTTGAACCACAGATATCAGCGTGTTCTTCAACAGAGCAACAAATAAAACCGTGTTCATAACCAGCACCGGTAGCACCCCCTCGGCTGCACTGGGGAAATTTAAGAGACCCATCTGGTATTTGCCATAAAAAACACACAATTAAAAAAAAAAACAAAACAAAAAAACAAACTCATACACTGAAAAAAAAAAAAAGAAGAAAAACTTTTCTTCCCAATTCAGTACAGAAATCAGCTAAATGTGAGGAGGATTTTCAGAGAACGAAACCTCAGCTTGCACTTAACAGGGTTGTGAAAACTGAAAAGAGAAGGCTACGGTTTCACCAACTGAAACGGTGGACGGGCTTGGAGATAAATACAGAGGGGGCTCGCGCTAACCACGAAATGGTCGAACCGTGGTTTGTGAGGCAAACAATGGTGGGTCCGTGGGTTGACGTATAGGGCTTGTGTGAGATTGTGTTGACCGTTGAGTTGAGGT